TGTATATATATACAGTATATTCCTAAACTAGGCTTTATTCAACCCAGAAGTGAATTTGTGCAGTAGCCTACAACAACAACAACAACGCCCACAATAAAAACATTAGAAAACTAAAACAACAAAACACTGTAAGWCAGGCTGTCACTAAACTGGTTTTGATTCCAATAAACAACAGTGGTTGTCCTGTCTGTTACACAAACTGTGTTCAAATGTTTAAATAACTACAGTAACAAACTCCACAGAGTTTGACTTACAGCATCGTTAACTATCTTAAACAGCAGGGTAGCTTTTAGGCCTTGTAGCTAAAATATATTATTATAATAATCGGTCAAAACATTTGTCCAAAAGTAAAAAACACCTCCGATTATTAAAAAAATAGCGCAGCTGAGCATAAAGCGAGCAGGACTGTGTTCCTGATGTAAACCGAGCCATAAAACTATGACGCTGTAGCAGTTATGCTAAAGTTAGCTAGCCGTGAAGTTCTGAGCTTACCTTCTGAGAATGCTGCTGGAGGACATTCTGCTCCACCGTCATGGCCGCTGCGGAAACAAATGTGATTCAAACTCAAAGCAGGAGCAGCCAAACACAGGCTGTTCTTTCACCTGAAGGAAACAGAGCTGGGTTCTACAAGGTCCCGCTTTAACACACGACGTTACGGGCGGGTTGGTACCGCGACTCGTCCGCATGAAAACATTGCTCTGCCTGCTGGAGAGCAGGGATCGATTAGTCAGGCCGGGCCGGATCGATTATTCATGTCTGCCTATAAATAAATATTATTTCATTCAGAAGTCATTTGGATTTTCTTTTTAGAACTGGGTATTAAAAAACAGGAAATGAGTGGTTATTTGATTTTTGTTTTAAGTCACAGAAATTAAAATTAAATTAGCCTACAAAGCATTTCTCATTCTTAGCGTGAAAAAAGGGATGAGTAAATTTTTTTAAAAAATGGTTTGTGTTTCATTTTCTGTTTCGTATAACAAAAAGAAAATCATTTTAAAACAGAAACAAACAAAAAGAGGCTCATTTGTTCATAATCCACGAGCATAATCTGTCCTGTCACCAGCAGGGGGCGCTGGTCTGCAGCTGGTCTGCAGCTGGTCTGCAGCTGGTCTGCAGCTGGTCTGCAGTTGGTCTGCAGCTGGTCTGCAGCTGGTCTGCAGTTGGTCTGCAGCTGGTCTGCAGCTGGTCTGCAGTTGGTCTGCAGCTCTGCATGAGGAAACTTTTATTTCTCAAACAGACATGTACTGTATGTCCACAGTGTTGTATAAAGTAAAGTGATACTTGAGTAAAAGTACAAGTACTTTATCATAAAAATACTTTGGTAAAAGTTAAAGTCTTCTCTAAAAATATTACTTGAGTAAAAGTCTATCGGATATTTTTTGTACTTAAGTACAGTGGTGGGATGTAACTAAGTACAAGTACTTTCTTGCTGTGCTTAAGTACATTTTTCATGTATCTGTGCTTAAGTATATTTCATCATGGGTACTTTTGACTTTTACTCCACTACATTTTACATTAAGTATCTGTACTTTCTACTCCACTACATTTCTGTAATGTGTTGAATTACAAAGTACATTCATGTCACGTCTATTTATTTATTTATTTATTTTTGTGGTTTTTACTATTTTTTGTTAGAAAATAATCAGTGGCAAGAGGGGGAATTGCTGTAATTGGTCCGTTGAACAAAGTAGGAAAGTACCATTAGACCCTCCTTCATAAAAAAGCAGAGCAGCAGCATGGCCACACTGGTTTCCAGCACAGAGGAAATGTGCCGTTCATGGTCTTATTTAACTGGTTCAAACAAATGACTTGTTGAGATTTGATAGAGGAGGTTGGTGGTGAGTTTACATCTCCTGCAGCTGTTGTCACAATCTGTGATGATGTACAGACTCACAAGTCCAAGTGTGACCAGTGTCACAGAGTGTAAACACAAATCTACACAATTATCTGCAGCGTTGTTCACTAAAATATTGATGTATTAAAATATACATACAGTAGGCACACTTCATGGTATTGTAGACCATTAGGGAATACATTAAGCAAGTACTTTTAATTTTAATATTTTAAGTACCCCGCCCCTCGCACTGTGACTGCTGGATATGGGCACCAGTGACCCACGCGACCCTGAAAAGGAAGAAGCGTGTACAGAAAATGGATGGATGGATAAAAGCAAGTACTTACTTACTTTTACTCAAGTAAAATGTTAATGTGGTACTTTTACTTTTACTTTTACAAAGTACATTCTTGTCTGTTTATCTGTACTTTTGTAAGTACAGTGTTTGAGTACTTTCTCCACCACTGCTTAAGTATCAAAAGTAAATTTCTGACTCAAAATCTACTTAAGTATTAAAAGTAAAAGTACTGAGTAAAAGTAAGCAGTTAGATTTTACAAAATGACATTTATTGGGAGGTGACTTCTCCAAAAAATATATTTTCTAACAGCGTGCAGCTGTGATGGGTTGTGTACAAGMTAATAGTGTCAGAATGGTATATATTTATACTTCTCATCCAAACACAGTTAAATTCACTCTATCCAGGAKACACTGTTTATCAGGATAGTGTTTTTTTTWAATAATTACTCGGAATAAAACAGGAGTAACGACTTTCTACTTCTTACCTTTTTAAATAATGTAGTGAGTAGAAAGTACAGATAACTGTTTTAAAATGTAATGAGTAAAAGTAAAAAGTACGCTGAAAAATAATTACTCAAGTAAAGTACAGATAACCAAAATTTCTACTTAAGTACAGTAAYAAAGTATTTGTACTCAGTTACTTTACAACTCTGTATGTCCATAAATGAGTTATTTAATGACTGTTGCTCTGAGACCAAAAGTTTTTCAGAGGTACTTTGTGTAGTTTCAGACCAAACAAACCTTTTTTACTGAATACATGTGTTGCCTCCATTTTTCTCAGTAAAAAGCCAAATAAGACAAATGTTATTCCTTTAATGTGTTGTACAGGTTTTCTGTGAGCAGATAGGTTTTTAACCCCCCCTGCTTTTTGACTAAATCTGTGCTTTTTCTGTCAGTTCGTGTCCTCCGACTTTTCTTTTCAGCAAGGGGTGGGCAGTACGGTACTACAACTGTGACATTGATCCAACACCAAGTAAATACTTGGTAAATACACTCAGTACCAAGGTCACTACAGATGGTTTTTACTTGTAATGACATGCTCATTGAATAACTGATTTTGCCCTGAACAGCTGTGGTGAAGTGGTAGAGCAGCTGACTTGGGACCAGAAAGTCACAGGTTTGACTCCCAACCATGCCCATATCGTGGTGTCCTTGAGCAAGACACTTAACCTACAACTGTTCCCTGGGTTCACATAGCTGCCCAAAGTATGCTGAATGTCCTATACAAACACTGAGGAAGGTTCATAATATCAATGGGACATTTGGCATTTACAACTTCCATATAATAATTTGTGCCAAAGGTCCCAATTATAGAACTTTGACATTTGACACTAATTACAGTGGGGAAGTAGCATATGCTAAATGTCCCATACAAAAATTAAGGAAGGTTCATAATTTAAATGGGACATTTGGCATCTTGCAACTTCTCTATTATAATGTGTGTCAAATGCCCTATTTAATACTTAGTGTTCAATAAAAATCAATGGGGCATTTGGCAATTGCAAACTACCTATTTTAATGTGTGCCAAATATATTATTAATACTTAGTGTTCAATAAAAATCAATGGGGC